TCACTATTATTATTCATAGTATTGTTATTATATTATGCATCTAAGACATAGTTTTAAAACACTCCTGCAAGTATTGGTGGTTAAAATATTTTTAAAATATACTAATACTGAAAATTAAACAGTACAAATATTTCATTGAATTCTTCCACTATTGTTTTCTTATCGTCTTCACTCACTTACCATTGTGTTCTACACCAGCAGTTCTCAAAGGTGGGGTGTGACACAAAGTAGGTCATGAGTTTGACTAATGCTATCTTGGCTACGATTGTAAAACTAGTCCTGTTCAGTCTGTGTTTTATATAGAGCTGCACCAGTTAAAGCTTCAGTTAAATTTAGTACCAGCTCTGCCTAGTGGTAGGATACGTCCTAATGAGGAAGCCATTTTACAGTGAAGGTCAAGAAGATGGAAACAGGAAGAAGATTTGGCACATTTATAAAATATATATATGTGTGTTTTGTGTTTATATATGTATCTATATATGTGTACATATATAAGGATATGTATGAGGATTTAGCATTTAGATCCTTCAGTAATTTTGTTGAAAAAACTTTAAAACTGTAAAACTGTTTAGACTTTAGTTGCACGTTGGTATAAAAGCTTTTGTTTGATCCTGCGGCAGTAAAGTATACCACAGTATATTCCCTGGAGGCTGTAGTGATGTCGATGGAAAAGTGGGATGTGATCTATAGATTGTGTTGTCAGCATTGATCGTCACCATGATTGAACCCTATTATTGTGTAAATAATCCAATAAGGAGACTCTCTTAGTGACAGCAACAAACATGAACTCCAATCCCTGGATTACTGGATAAATAATTTTAATGAAATAAAAATCCTGAATTATAAATCCCTCCTTTAGGACTTCCTACTGCGTGTCTTTGTGCAACAAACCCTGTGTAAACGTGCTAAACGTTCTCACGGCATCACGAATGGACGGCGCGGAGAAGAAATGACCACGAAATTCAACAGGATCACCGAGGTCTTAGCAGGAGATTATTTATGTTCATGTAGGGAAGCAAGTCGTGGCGCTGGCCAGCTGCCTGCTCTGCTGGTGGGCTGATTGATTGGCTGTCCAGTTCACTGACGCCTGTACTGTCATGGTCCCTGCAGCTGAATAGCTGGCTGACATGGTGACCAGCTGCCTGAATGTTTACAAAGTGTCTATATCACGTCGTGCTGCTTCTCTGACACATGGGGGCGATAGTGGTGATAACTGTCACACAGCGTTTGGACTTCCTACTGGATAATAGTCTTGTTATACAGTACACGTTTATTTACAGTTAATTTGGCAGGCGGTGGTTAAGCAGTACCTTTATTGACCACTGGGGTGTGACAAAGTTCTTTTTTGTTTTTGTTAACTTTTAAAGATAGTGTCCGTTTATGAAAGAGAAAACACAGAAGTCTTTAGTTTAAGTTTTTATTTTTTATTTTTCCAGAAATAACTTACTTAGTTTTAATTCTTTTTTTAACATTGAACTAACAGCCATGGTTAGAAATTACACGTTTGTTTGTTTGTTTGTTTGTTTGTTTCAACTCAGCTTGACTACACTAGTATGGGGATCTGAGTTCAATTCAGTTTTTTTACCTCCTTGTAGTAAGCTACACGAAAATCATTCCATTTCAAGAATATTATTGTATTGTTTGAAAAATTAGGTCAAAGTTCACTCAGTTTAAGAGCATGTTTGCATTGAAAATTGTGATGGGTTTGGGGTCCCTGTAATTATCCACGCTCTGGTTAAATGACAGCCCTGATACTTGAGTCATTTATTCAAACACTCGAGCCTTTATTCTGTTCCCTCAGTCCACGTGTTGTGTGTATTTGCTGTATACAGTAAATTACCGTTACGACCCTCTGAAAGTTTAGTGTTGCTGAAAACCTGGGATCACACACACACACACACACACACACACACACAGAGAACATTATTGTTTCCAGGATTTCTTTCATGAGGATTTAGAAACTTGATGTCCATGACCCAGAGGAGGAGGAGGGAGTAGAGGGACTGAGGGGGGTCAGTGACTGTTTAATTCATCCGAAACACATAAAAATACGTTTTTTTTTTCTCTTTTCCTCTCCCGTTTTGAGAATTTTGATCTAGTAGCTTTTTAAAAATCAATCAGTGCATATTAACTTTATATATATATATATATATATATATATATATATGTTTTTCCTTTCCCTCTTTTTGGTCATTCTTTTTAAATGAGACTGAGTGAAGGCGTGAACAGTAGCTGCATTTACACACTACCACCACCAGGGTGATTGTGTCTCCTTTTGTCACATATGATATCAACTTTATTAATATTTACTCTTTTTTTCTTTAAAGTATTCTCTGCAGCTGTGACTCAGACTTGTGTTTCAGTGATGTCCTTGAAAGCAGCATAATTTGAAATAATATTTAGGTGAAGTTTTCTTAAATTCCTCCTTAATCCATATAAAGATCCTAAATATAGACAGAACTCCTCCCTCCCTCGATCTTCCCTTCTCCCAGAGCAATTCCCAGAGCTCACTGTGATCAATTACAATTTGTCTCGGCCGCCTTTGATTTAGCACTTTCCTAAATTCCTGCTCCGTTCTTTGTGCTGTAATTACAGTGGTAATGATGCAGCTTTTATATTTAAACCTCTGGCTCTCACATCAAAGATGGCTCTACTTCCTGTCTATGAGGGCAAGAGACTAAAATGAGGGGAGCATGCAGACTTCAAACAGCTGTGGGAATGAGTCTGTCCACGAACGAATGAATATCTGTACACAGTTGTCGTCTGCGTGTACTTCCTGTCCCGCGTACACCTACCTCACACACACTCAGAGCACATCCTGTGGTTGCACTAAACAATGCGCTGCCCATTGTACTGTGCTTGCAGCCTTGTGTCCTTATGACCTTTGACTGCTCAGATATGGCACAGAGCACCTGTACTGTCTGGTGCCGTCTGTTCAATTGTGTGCACACATGCTCTGGTGTTAGTGTTCTCGACCACACTGGAAATGCAAACACACCTGCAGCTGCAGCTGCAGCTACAGCTGACGGCTGCACTTTCACACATATTTTATAATGGTCAGAATACAGTAGCTCCATATGTGGTCAACATGCACAGTGTTGACTCTGCTCACAAGTCTAATTCCAACTAAGAATCCCTGTGTGTGTGTGTGTGTGTGTGCGTGCGTGCGTGTGTGTCTCCCACATATGCTTCTTTCCTCTCGTGGGAAGGAGTGAGTTTGCTTTTCACACTGAGTTGTTAGCATCTGAGCGTATGAGCTAATACAAGAAGAAATAGAGTGGATGGATAAGCAGACTGTGAGAAGTGCACAAATAAATACTGTATAAATATATATATATATATTCATCACTTTAAAGAGTTTTTAAAACTAGAACTGAGAAGACATACTTTCACTTCTTGGGTTCATGATTGAAAACAGTAAAAGTTTCCATTTTAGTTTAACTGGTCACATGTTTAGGTAGAAAATGAGAGTCCACCAAAGGTCTTCACTTCACTTGCAAGAAGATCTTAGTTTTTTTCAGACGATCAGGAGAATTCTAAATTTCTGCTTGTATCTGTGTTTCCCTCAAAGCGGCTGATTTAAGTTCATTAAAACTGTGAAAAACGTATTGCAGTGATGAATATTTGACAACATAATTAAGTCGTAAAAACTGATACACCTTTCCTCCCTCCCCTGGAGGCCTACAGTCTGTGACATCATCTTCCTGAGTCTCCGTCTCATCTTTAATATCATTTACTTTTACGCCACTAAAGCCTTTTTAATAAAACACACACAAACGAGCTTTCAAATATGTCGACTATTTAAACGCAGATTTAAAGCTGTTTTGTAAAAACATATCAGGACCAATCAAAAGGCTTACAAACAGGACACCCCTCAACCCTTTAATTTAAGACTTTTTTTTTTTAACTTTTAACTTTGTCAGTGGAGTCCATTAGTCTGTGATGAAATAAAGACCATCTCTGTGAAGGAAGTTAAGGAAATACTACACACATTAGGAATTGAACCCAGAACCTTCAGCATGGCAGGCTCTTGCCCCTGGACACTAAGTTTGACGTTACAGTCATGACCTCCCTGTGACTGAGGGAAACTGGGTCTCAGGTGCTATGGGTGTGTGTGATTAAGTGTAATTTACAGTGTGAAGCAACACTAGATGTCGGTGTGTATGATTTACTGGTGTATTATCATTGTAGCCCAGGGCCATCAAGCTGAGCTTCATGCTGTCTCCACAGTCACATGTGGTTTTATATGATTTGTTTTTGATATGAATTACAATTAATGTAGTTGTTTTCATGCCGTGTGTCACCAGTGAATATTTTAAATTCACCTGCTGGAGCTTCAGGGGTATTACATCATCAGAATGGCACACAGATGACAAAAGGAAATAATGATAAGGTGGTGTGTGATTCAGATAATTTGGCTTGTTGTGATTCTCAACCACAATGTGCTGTGAGATATCATCAGGTGCACCATGGGAGTTATCCAGTTTCCCTTAAACGGTCTGGAAACTATTATTTAATTACTGCAAATACTTGGTTTGTTCGTCTTTGTGACACTGACAGGCAGAACAATAAATTAGTCTTCCACTAGTTGGCAGCAGATTGGTATAAAAACATAATAAGCAAGAGAGCCTTGGAGCTATGGTCTGCATGTGTCTTTCTTCAATTCCTGTATAGATTGATGTCTTGTTCAACTAAACAGGCCCCTGATTAAATAGAACCTCATTATATTTCATTCCATGTATTTTTAGCCAAGGAATTGAAATTAATTGTTCTTAAAAATAAAGTTTGTATCGTGACTTAGTGACTCCTTATCAAACCCAAGGCCGTGGAAGATTTCAGAACCAACGGCCCAGATGAGTGAACATTTAGTTTTTTTGCGTCTGTGCATCATTTATCTCTGTACAAACAGTTCCAGCCTCAGATGTTGTTATCCATGTGTAACAGTTTGTGACGAAAACACAAAGAGCAGCATTGTCAGTGTCTACTTTGGTTCATCCTACCTTCACATAGTCCACCGTGGCGTCCAGGCCAGCAGCCGGCTCCCTGGGGAACAGAGACAGAGACAAGGTCCGGTTTAGAGAGCACATCTTGGTTCTGGGACAAAAACCTCCTCCTGTGTCCTTTCTCTGTCGTTGGCTCCACTTCAACAAACAAAAACCCCAGCTCTTAGTTCCTGCTGTTACTGCTGAGTGGTGGAACTTCTTCAGCTCGGTACGATTGTGTCAAAGGATGACGAGGTTCAGTGAAGATGTGGCATTTAAAAAGAAACAACACGTCCAAAGAGATGTCACTGGTCCAAACTAGTTGTCCTCATCAGCCGTAGACCTGAGTGATCTGGACAGCAGGCACCGAGACGGATATCTGATAAAACCTGAATTAAATGAACTTTACATTTACTTCCTCTGGGCTAAAATAAAACTTCCCTCCCACAGCTCTCACTCTGAGTCTTCTGTTCCTGTCAGTCTGTCACTCTTTCTTTTTCTCTCTCTGTGGTAAACATGTTCACTCACTGCCTCTTTGACCCGGCCTCCCTCCTTCACTCTCTCCCTCTCCCTCCCTCTCCCTCTCCTCCCCCACCACAGCACACATAGCAGCCACACGCCTACCCTTCTGCAAATTCACAGGAAGGTTAGAGAGCGTGCACACACACACACACACACACACACTTTATTTTTAAGTAATCTCCTTTGGAAATCCTAAATTCGTCAGTAATTTAGTGTACAACAATTCGCCATACTTCATACGTTATATTCTGGAATTTTCCTTTCTTTTGTTTTCCTGCATTTACTTTCAGACTTTTTTGGCAGATGTTTAATTACTACTTATGTACGTGCAATTACTCCCTGCAGTACTCGGCATCTCTGCCAGGAATATGTGCACACGAGTGTCTCCGCTGCAGCAGGCTTACACCCAGCAGCTCAGTCAAGGAGGTAATTAGGTTCAAATCCTCCACTATACATTAGTGAGGTTGTTGGTTAAAATCTTCTAAGCCGTTGCTGGCGTTTCCCACGGGAATATTAGCGTGGCCAACGTTTTACTTAGCAAACAAAGTATGCCCAGCCCTAAGCCCTCTTAGTTTTAATGTGGCTCCGCAGAATGAGCAGGATTTCGTTACGTAACTGAAGACAAACCTCCATTCACAACAATGTCCAGTGGTGATTTGGGGGAGGAGGTGAAGTGCTCTCCTCCAGGAGCAGCAGGTTTATGTTTTCAGAGCAGTGTACTCAGAGTCACAGCCTGCTTAAAAATACTGGTGTAAGTCAGAAGTATACGAGCAGAATACTTCAGCTTCTACTGCCTAATACTCCTCAGGGTCGCTAGGAATATGCAGCGGTTCTGAGGTAAGGTGGTTTTTCAACCTCGGGGTCACGACACCACGTGGGATCACCTGGATTTCAAATTAGGTCGTTTGGTAATTGATAAAAAAAAATCACTGATTAAAAAAAACATCTCTTTTAATTACTTAAATTTTCTTAAAATTCACAGTTTTATACAAATGTATTCTTTCATTTTGAAATAATAAATATAAATCCAGTTCAAATCAAATGTGGCAAATAATAGTATCTGAGCTGGTTCTGAAAAATGCAGTAAAATGTGACTTTGTGCAGTAATCTGGCTCCTCTGTATTTATAACACAGTAATACAATTGTGGAAAAAAAACTTTGGCTTGACTTGTGATGTCAAAATAGGGTGACGAGCCAAAAAAGGATGTGAAACACTGGGTTACTTCCTGGACGGTTTGTTTGTCCGTCTCTAGGCCACATACCAGTCACACTCAGGTTCACACCTGTGGTCAATTTAGAGTGAACAGTTAAACCGGTGTGACTGAAGTATTCGTACAAAACTCATCTTCACATATTAACACACGTGAAGATCATGGGAGCTCCATGTAGAAGGAGTTAATCGAACTGGTGATGTTCTCACTGTAAGGCAAGAGCACTACCCACTCTTCCACCAAATGACATTTGAAAATTTCTTAAAAAAAGTTAAATTCAGCAAAACAAGGTTACAATGATTCTATAATAAAGTTGTATTTACAAAAAATAAGATATATATAATAACAAATATAATAAAAAGAATGTTTCTACAAATTCCTCTCTGTCCATTTCTCCATGATCATGTCTTGACAACAATGCTCATGAAGCGCCTGTCTACTCTGTGTAGGAACGTGCACGTTGACAGTGGCAGTGTGAGCGACCATGTGGCAGTGCCACATATACAACCAACTTCAAAATTATGTACACTCTCATGATGGTTAAACCAACATTTTTTTTTATTTCTTTACTGAATATAAAAAGTCACCACAGTACGCAGGAAGTTTTTTGCGGACTTGACTGTGAACTAAATTCATTTTGATATCTTTGACGTGTGTAACGCTACGTCTAGCTTCAATGGTCAGGGGTTAGACTCCGACCCACGATTTCACCACACTAACCACCAGGCTCTCAGAACCAGGCCTTAAACTGAATGTTCTACATTAGAGGGTAATTCCCTTTTAACCCCAAAGTTAGGTGGAGCGGGGGGTTAAGGTGGGGGCATTGTTGTCGTCACAGACTTTGAACTGACAGCTTCTCCACACTGGTTTGCTTTGTTCTTGATTTTGTTGTTTGAATTTGGATGTGAGAACGTCAGCTGACCCAGAGTACACACACTGACCGCAGCTAACTTTACCTCTTCTTCTGCCCATGCTGCTGAAGTAGCAATGGACACTGGAATTTGCTGCTTCTGCAACCACAGTTCTGACCTGTACCTCTGACAGAGTGAGAGTAGAAACATGTGAAGAGGAAAGAAAGAAAAAAAAAACAGTCGCAGGCAGAGTGGGCTGCACGGCCACAGTCTTTTTCTGGCTACTGTTGTTCTTTGCATTTCTCCACACAATACTGAGTTAGACCACAACCTGGCCTTAGAGAGGGACTTCACCCTGTCTGTGTGTGGAAGATCGAGAGAAGGGGGGAGAGAGAGAGAGGGGAGGCGATGAGAGAGAGAGAGAGAGAGGAGGGGATGGAAAGAGTTGAAGAGGGTAAACTGCAGTATCGACAGGCAGCCAGCAGAGGTCAGTGTGTTTCCACAGTGGAGCTGCATAACGTCTAGTGAGAATCCAATTAAAAAAAGACAAATTCTACCAGTGCATATGGCATGAAAAGTAGGGATGGAATATTTTTATTTACTAGTACTAAGTAGTATTACTTTAAATGCTGCATAATGAAATACTGATTATGCAAACAAATGAAAAATACTTCACAAGTATTTCCCACCCTCTGAGATGAGGTGAGAACTGTGATTTAAGAAATGTTGTGAAATGCAGCTGCGTTTATTTTGACTTTATTAATACAGCAGTATGAGAGAACAGTGGTAACACCTGTGACGGTGTTACAACCATTCATGTAACATGTAACAACCTAAAACAGTCCCACACTCCTCCTTCATCATTCTGACTCTGTCTCTCTGCTGTATCAGTCTGCCTCCCCTCCACTCTCCCCCATCCCCCTGCTCTTTCTTCTCCTACTTGGTGGTCTCCCAAGATGCCCACAGTCAAACTGACCACAGTGCAGCATAAGGTCGAGGGTCATAGGTCAGCGGATGACATGAGCAATGGAAAGTCAAGACCAAATGGCCGGAGGTTCCATACTTTGAACAGACGCTCCCTCGTCTGCGTCTTTATCTGCTGTGAGCCGGAGGAGTGTGTGGAATTTAGTTTACACCAACTTCAAAGCAGGGTATTTTCAAATATTCGGTACAAAGTATTTTGTGTACCAATGCTGAGGACCCATTTCAATAAAAAAAAGGAAAATTTAAATGTGGCGTTAGTTTGTCAGCTAAAGAGTTTGGAAATTAAAAATATTAATGGAAAAAAGTTTTAATTGTATGAATTGAAACATCATAAAAAAAGAAAAAAAAAGTAAAATTACACTTTGTTTTTGAGGCTATTGACAGGTTAAATGCACTATTAACCTGTGTTTTTGACCTACTGACAGGTCACTGCTTCAGCCACCGGCTAAACTGGGAGATTTTAACTGAACTCCTGATTTCATTTTTACTTTAAAAATTGTGAAGTACAAAAACAACAAATAAATTTAAAAAATCTGACAGTTAAAGTATACACTCAGTGTGATACAGTACTGCAGTACTGCAGCACCTGCACAGCCTGAATCTGAACTGGACAAATTGTGCTGCTGTTTGTCATCACTCTGTGAAATGTATCCAGTGAAGAGGCAGAAAGATGGAGAGGGCAGACAAAGAGTTCACAGTAATCTGTGATCTGTCCTGCCACACCCTGACCTACAAAGGTAACCCAACTGCTGGGGGCTACGCACACAAACACACACATGCACACGCACACTCACATCAGACAGATACAGTCTGGTGTAACTCTACACTGAAGATGGAAAGGTGGGAGGAAAAGATGAAGGCAGTGGAGTGTGTGTGTGTGTGTGTGTGTTCTCTCTGAAGTTGAGCTAACTGCTAGGTTCCCCCAGGGTTGGTTTTACAATCTCTCCTTTCTCCATCCAGCTCCGTAGTCTTTCGTCTAAGTTCTGTGATGATGTCGCTCCAGATTATTAGCTGTAGCGCGGCTAAGCATCAGTCAGTCCCTCAATGACAGGGTTCAAATATTCTGTTATAAATTTATAATTTCTACCTTGACAAGTGGTTACAAAAATATCTACATCATAAATAACAAACGAAGGTTTTAGGTTGATGGAAGGAGGTTGTAGTTAACGTTGTCAGTCTGATCCCTGTCATGTGTTGAGTCGAGAAAGCTAAGTTAGCGCTGGGGCAAGTTTACCTAGTGATGCCTTCACCGTTCTAGAAAAAAGTGAATCCATTATTTTTTGTGTTGTGTTGAATAAGCTGTAGTTCCCTTGCGCTGCCACTTGGCTACAGTCTATTTTTCTGGAGAGATGATCACGTATGCTTTGTTGTTGTGTATTTGATAGATTATATTTCATCCATTTCTCCTTTAGGCAGAATTGTTGACAAATGTAACAGCTGAGTCTTTTTCCTTCAGTTAATGACGACACATAAAACCAGATATAATCTTAGTTAGACGGGGTGAAGATCAGACATGTGTCCCCACCTGTAACTCTGGAAGTCACTGGTGATGTTCTGGACCAGCGGAGAAGTCACAGGTTGATGGTTGTGCCCAGGAGCCAGTGTCGTATTCCCACCGACTGATGGATGCGTATGTTTGGCTCTGGGGTCCCAGGTGTGGTTCCCATGGTTGGGGGCGGTGCCTCCTCTCCTGCGTCGAGGCATCGTCCCATGAATGGAGACGGGCTGGTAGGAACCAGAGGACAGCTCTGAGAGAGCAGCGTTTTTCCCTGGAGGGAGGCTGAAGTCCAGAGACGAGGGATAAAAAGAAAAGGAAATATGAAAGAATTCCCAGTCCTCTGGATGAAATCCTAAACTCTGGAAACTTCAGAAATGATTTAGGTTTTAGTTTACCTCTGATGTAAAAATACATTTGTCTGAACAGTGAAGGTTGTCATCTAAATGACATCAAAAGTTCATTTATGTTTCATGAGAAAAAGATCTGAGTTCTAAACCGTCTTAAATCGTTGAAGCGAATTTCCATTTTTTTTTAAAAAGCTGAGAGCTGCAGTTATTGATTCTTCCTACTCAGGGACGCATCGACATGGTCACCACTGTTGCCCTGTGACAAATCTAATGTCTTACACAGTGATTTGCAACCTCTAGGTCATGGCACAATAGTGTGTCGTAATTACATACAATTACACTAGGTGGCAAAACCAGAATTAGAGCCATTAAAGAAGATCTTTGTGTCTTTCTTCAATTCCTGCGAGTATATTAGCGTTGTCGTCAACTAAACAGGTCGAGATTTTAGTTGTGAGTAAATTCAAACTAGAAGATTATTTTAGTTCATTGCATATTTATAATTTATAATTTTTGTCAGATTTTTGTTTGGTGATGTGATGCCTTGGGGTCTAACTCACCCAGGACGGGAGCTGAGGAGATCCATAGAGGAGGCAAGGGAGGCCTGGAGCCTCCTGGAGGAGAAGGCACTGCCACCGGGGGCAGCAAGGGTTGGAGAGGGGATTCCATGGTGTGCAGTGACCCCATCCAGTGTGTGATGATGTGCATGAATGGACCTGGGCAGACTGGCAAAGCGCCCCTCGGCCATCATCCTCAACTCTGGAGAGGAAAATAAACAGAAAAAAACAGTCACTCAGCAGACGGACTAACTCTTCAGGCATTTGAACAGACTTTTAAAAGATAACAAAGTGAATTAACCTCACTTACTAGTCTTTCAGTTACAGTCTAACCTGGGGTCAACCTCTATGTAACCAGCTGGTAACACAAGACTGAGGCTCAGGTGTGAAACAGTCCTTTGTGGCTGACTGCTCCACACAGACACATGAGCTCAAACACACAAACACACTCTGACACGTACATTATTCACAGAGATGAAATATTATGATACATGAGACGCAGAGTCAGTTCAACAGGTGCAGTCGCCTCCATCACCCAAACACTCACATGGTCGACACCCGCCCCACATACAAAACACCTGAAAAATACACACTTGAGCCCCTTTGGCCAATAGAAACTTCCCATGATCCACTATGCTACAGCTAATTTTGAATTAGTCACAGGAAATATGAAAGATATTTTTTAAAAGTTTTTATGGGTGTACTTTGGTTTCAACTGCAATGTCAGAAAAATTGTTTTATTTTTTTCAATGAAATGAAAGTTAAATTAAAATGTGTCACATTAAACTTTAAAATAAACAATCATCTCACATTAAAATAAACGAGAATCTGCTCAGAAAAATCTCTTTTTCATTCCTAATTTTAGGCCTATATTAAATTATTACAGTTACTGACCAGAAACAGAATCTTTTCAAGAAAAGCTGTAAACTGGTTCTCAAAAAAATCTATAAGATTTGAATGTCACTAAGAAAAACAAAAAAGAAAAAAAAGAAAAGAAATTACTGGAAGTTGTTTTTTTTTATCTAAATATATTTGGTCTAGTGACACAGACATAAAACAGACGAGTGGTGGTTTTGAAGAACTTCCCCTGCTGTGTGATGATGACTGTACTGCCCTCATCATCTGCCCTGAATCACTCGGCGCACCTCGGTTTGTCACACTGTACCAAGTAAAATATCACAGCCACAGCCACACGTCCACAGATCAACCGGCATAAAGATTAAAGAAACGCTGTTTTTTTCCAATTTTATCAAACTGTAAAATCAGACCGGGACAAGACGGCTGCTGATTGCTGTTGTGTCTGAGTAGAAAACCTGGTGAGGTTGGAGGGGGTAAAGAGTCCACACCGGGGGTGTAACTGTTGGAGATTTTGTCAGATTAGACCAGACTAGTGAACTCTTCAGTTATACATCACAAAAAGTATACGTAAGGGACTATAATAATCTTCTAATTTAAATTTAATCGCAATTTACTACAATCTCAGCCCGTTTAGTTGAAGACTACGCTGACATACTCGCAGGAATTGAAGAAATACATTCACAATTATCTTCAAGACCTTGTTAACAGGCTCTTGTTTTGTATTTTTTAATTCACAATTTTCCATGAATCAAGATAAGAAAAATCTTCTTTTTTAGTTCTGAAACTGATTTGTTTTTGTCCAATAAATGGTCACCAATTTATTTTTGTTTGTTTGTTGCAGATATTTTTCTCTCAGAAAAAAAAATAATGAAGATTAGGAACTGGAAAAAAAAATACTGCATGACATTAATTTCACAGGAAACGCAGGAGGAACCTTTAACCATTCAGAGACTATTCATTCCCAGGCTAAAAACATTAGCGTAACAGGCTGACAGCTGATCTTATTCAGCATCACTGAATCCATTCATCCTCAGTGGCACTTCGAAACAATTCCTCCAGCTGTGGAGGAAGACGAAGCACCAACATCAGTTCCAGTTGGTCTGTTAGCTTCTTTTCTGCTGCTCTTAGTGATAGACTGCAGGTACAGTTCTGCACTCCGCCTTTTAATGGTTGCATTTGATCTTTCCTCTTAATGGAAGTTGGGATTTATTATTGGTGCAGTAGCCGCAATTAGCTGTCAAGTTGTAGACAGCGCCCTCCTGTGGCCATGGCTACATGCTATATGTTTGTGACCGACAAATTACTGGAATATAAGTCGCAGGACCAGCTTGTGGTAGTCCAGAAAATGCAATAGATGAATATTTTTTGTGGACTCAAACTCGGTTGTTGTTGCGTGTCGTCATTCACCCTTAAGTAGAAATCTATTAATTTAGTCATTTATCCACTTATTTCACCCTTTTTTTTTACCACAGTGGCAACAATTGAAAAGCACCTTCAGCAGGGAGGTATACTGTATGTATCAAACACATCCTCAGTGATGTCATTCCTCCACTGCCTGTCAATGCAGAGACAGACAGAGTGGTTTTTCTTTTTTGACACACTCTGCTGGGAAATGGATCTAAAACCAACTGTTGCAGGAAGTTAGAGCAGTGACCAGACTGACAGTGAAAATGTTAATGCTTGTTCAGAGAAAGGAACAGCTGGCCAGTTAGCATGACAAGCAGAGTTTACACACACACACACACACACACTGTAAAGTCATGCTCCGGCATGTTGGGTCAGAGCAGAGAGATTCTTCTGAAGGCTGAACAACAACAGGAGGGAGACCTATTATGAGACCTTTAGTGATGGTCAGCTGTGCCTGTGTGTGTGTGTGTGTGTGTTTTACTGACCATCTGCCAGACACACACTCCTTCCAGCAGAGGGGAAAGGGCCGACTCTCACTGGGTGAGACAGCACTTCTGCACATGAATACCTGGAGTGGTGTGAATAAATAATTCATGCTGAGAGCCACGGTGTGAAAACTCTCACTCCTTTTCCTATCTTCATCCTTTCACCTCCTCACCCCCCGCCTACTCCGTCCTCCTCCTCCATGCTCTTCATCTCGTTCCCATCACGCTGCCCCAGCGGCTCCATCCCACCTCATCCATCTCTTCTCTTCTTTTTCATGTTGCCTCCCCCAAACACACACACACAGACACCCCCTCTCTTCCTCCCCCAGTCTGTCTATCGCAATGTCAGCTTTTCTTTCTCTTCTCCACATCTTCTCTTTCTTTATGTCCTTTGTCCTTCCATCACCCCCTTTTCCTCCCATGTTTCACCCTCGGCCTTATTCTCTCCTCCCTTCAGCTGCTGGTCACATCGCCAGGCATTGGACACACAGAAACACACACTTCTGTGGCTGTGCTTATCTGGACACTGCACTTGTAGTCACTGCAGACAGAAAGAAATCCCCACAAACTTTACAACAGCTGAAGTCATAGTCCGACTGCGGTCATCTCAGCCACAACCTCAGAAACTGTAATTATTCTTCTAAGCCCAAAAGAACTTCAGGTCATAACCAGATCAGGTCTGATATCAGCAGAAGTCTTCAGTGTTGGAGACAATAAAACAAAAGAAATTTGGACCATGGAAGAGGAAGTGTTGGCCTTTCTGGTGCGTCTGCTGTTCTTTGTGTTGAGAAACAGTCAAATCATCACCATTTAAAAAAAAAAAATCAGTAAATATAGCCTAACTTCCTCATTGACCCAGACAGATGGACTACACTGGGGTGTAAATATGAGGACATAATGAACAAAACACAAAGCTGTGATCGGCATTTTTCCAGAAATATTTTTTTTTATTCTCGTTGACATTGTTTAAATCTGTTAAATTTTAAAGGTGCAGCATCATTTCAAGGCACAACCAACCAACAGGTCTTCATGCTCACAAAGGTCGATGTTTATTTTACAAAAAAATGATCGAGACCACATGTCAACCTCAGGACCGAGGACAAAATCTGACCCGTGGTATAATGATCCAGGACCAGATCAGAACAGCGCCATCTCTAAATGTTAACCAGCAAACAAATAGACCAAATACCCTGAACTGGGCTTTGTTTTGACACCACCACCAGTGAAAGCCTTGGGCAAGATCACACAATAGTACAACACACTCACATCAGACCTTGGGTGACAAACTGGTGCAGATTAACAGGAAGGGGAAACGGCAGAATAAACAACGTAGATACAAACGGCCCATTAGAAAAGATTCAGAGTGAAACGCGTCTGTTTTTCTGTTCCAGTCGATTTGACCTAAACCACGGTCTACACTTCAGAGATAATGGGTCTTTTCTACACAAGCACCAGTCGGAGTCACGCAGGGTTTGTTGTTAATCCACTGAATGAATGGTTTTTATATATGTGTATATATATCTCCATATATTTGTCAATACACATGTATGTCAACATTGTCTTATTTAAAGCTGTTACACATTTCACTTCTTGTTCACCAGCAAATGCACAACTGAAAGAATGAACGTAAACACCAATACGGCTCTTAGTGTCTTCCTGCTCTGTCACACGCACATCACACACACGCACACACACACACACTAGTGCATTACCAAAACCACCCCTGGCCAGCAGTGAACAATAGGAACAACTGTCACATGACCAGAGTTTAGAGCCAGTCTTTGTTGAGAGCAGAGAGAGCGATGTCCTACTGCGCTCTTCAGTGCGTGGGGCCACCAGTATGAATGTATGTATGTGTGTGTGTGTGTGTGTGTGTGTGACATATAAATGAGGCTCTTATTAAAGAGCAGAGTAGGAGCGGCCATTTAACTCATTTGATTTTTTCACACACACACACACCAGCTACAATAGCATGTAGAGATGGACAGTGCTGACTGACGGCAGTCAACAGGAAACAGGCAGCTGAGTCAGTCAGTCAGTCAGTCAGTCAGTCAGTCAGTCAGTCCTAAGGTCTGGAAATGTGAAAACCACTGATCTCAGCCTGAATGAACACTATTTTTGCCCATACATAATCACAGCTCAAAAGGAACCAGTTCATGTTGCATAGTATTAGAAATGATATTTTAAGTGCAAATTATCTCACCCTTAGATATATAATTAGTATAATTTTGTGCTTCAAACCCATCTTGTTTTCCTGTGTCATGCCAAATGATTCTGTCCTTTGAACGACTGTCCGCGGTGACCTCATACAGACGTAGTACTTAATAATAATAACTAATAACTAATAACTAGAAACTCTCGAAGCCCAAATATCTCCTGTACCTGCCTTTTTAAAGCCCAGAGTAGAAGTACTTCTTTAGCTCCTCGGTCAGTCAGTGAGTCAGTCAGTCAATCTTTCTAAAGCACCATGAGGTCACGCAGTGCTGATGGCTGGCTGAAATACCAACCTCATCCTCCCACTGGCGCAAGTAACACAACACCACACAGACACACACAAACACACTGAGTCACAAACACACACACAGCCTCAATTAAAGTAAACTCTCACCGGCTCAGTTCACCTGACACTGACTAATGTCTGGTGCAACAACCTGCTGCATGTATGTAAATGCACATCACACACACACACACACACACACACACACAAACATGTGAGTCTCTGTCATTGCCCTGTGGGTGGTTTTCTGTTTGAAAGTCTTCATGTCAAAATCATGAAGGTCAAACTGAGTGTCAAAGTCTCCACTCCATCCCATAATAAACAACATCAGATTGGTATACAGTATCAGTTTAAGCCTTTCTTACAAACAGGAAACAACACGTGTCGACTGACTAAAACAAATAAACCGCCGTCTAAAAGCCCACACTGTTTGTAAAACAACAACAACAACAATCTGGACTAAAACAGAAAAACAGATTTGACTTATCTGTCAGATTCCATGTAATTATTTCCTGCTGGGGTTTCCACACTTGGCAACACAAACCCCAGCAACCACAGCTACACCCTGTGCCTTGGGATGAAACTTATTGCCTAAAAAAGTCCCTGAGTAAATCTCAAACACTTTGAGCAACTAAGCCAAGGAGGATGTCAGTGTAAATGAAGGAATGCCATGTGAAGAGCTGTAAAAAAAAACAACCTTGTGTGAGACTAAAACTGACTTTTTTTAACCAGTGGTCGAGTTAAAAACCTGAGGTTGAAAGATGTAGATAAAGATAACGGTCTCACTCCTGTCTGCCCTGCTATCTCCATCTACACACACACATTCCCACACACACACACACCTAGATTTTACACACTAGTTTCCATTCCTACCTGTGAGAACCTCCTCCGTCCGTCTCCGTCACTCCTCTGATTTCTATTTCAGCTTTATGCGCTCCTATCAGAATTATTCATGGTGCGTTCAAGTGACTGACTGACTGAGTGGTGACCGGCTCAAAGGCTACACACACACTCACGCTCCTTCAGACAGGCAACAACAAGTAGCGGTGCACCATCACAAGCCCTGCCCTCCTCTAACTCTCCTCAAGGGAGTGATTTCTCCCGGCCCCTCCTCCTGCTCCTCTGAATTTGGGAGGAGTTGTCTTTCTTTCCCTCTGACCCAGGTTGTCTCTTGACCCCTCCCCACCCCCCGTGCTCACCCCCCTGCCCAAAAAAACTTCTGCCTTCCAGCACAGAATAAAACCTCCCCTCTGCCCTCCTCCTCTCCTCTCCTCTCCTCTCTCTTCTCCTCCTCCACCCACTTCACTGTGTGTTCATCGCCTGCTCAGCCTCATATTTCATGCTCCCAGGCTTTTTGTTTGTGACCTCTTACACCAACACCACCAACTGCTGTGGCACTAAGAGAAGATTCAGACGTTGTGACCTAATGGGTGCTATTTGTGGAGAGGGAACGAAAACACACACAAACACACACACACACACACACACAGCAGCGACATGTTTGAGCAATTTGAGGTTCACTCAAGACTCATCAAGTTTTACTACTTGAGTGCATGTTGGGCCAATCATAAATCAGCGCCACGTGGACTTTAACATTTGGGTCGGAGAGTTTGTAAAGAAACAAAAACCTGGAAATATGAGTGGAATGTTGGAGCAGGATGACTGGATTTAACATGATGTATCGGATGAAACAACTACAGGAGTCCTGGATGTGTCATGATGCCAGGTATGAGGTCATGAGTGTGTGTGTGTCAGTGAGTGTGTGTGTGTGTGTGTGTTACATCTGGCCCTCAGGACGACACTCTCTCCTGCCTTTGTCCTCCTGTTCCTCTGTATTGTCTAGAGTTGATAACTCCCAGACACGTGCGTGTGTGTGCATGTCGATGTGTGTGTGTTTATATATATATATGTGTGTGTGTGTGTATGTCAGGGTGTATTTCCTCTAAGACAATACACCGAGGCCATCCTGCTCCTGTAAGAGCTCAGATGGCCCGCATTGGACGGACACGCTCACACACACACACACACAGACTCACAGGATGTGTCCTTTTTTCTTAAGTTATTTACACTTCATTTGCTGAAGGCTGTGAAAGAGCCCGAGGGAGAAAAAGGGTCCGCGTTGTAGAAAGTCCAAAAACAAAGTTGTGTTTTTAATTAGAAAAGGGAAAAGACAATGTTTATAAACATAAATAAGGAATAGAAACCGAACTCGTGTGAGGACGGTTACTTTTCATTCAAATTCTAAAAACTCGAATGATACGTTTGTTTTGTTTGAAATTGTTTGAATTTTTTTGCTGTTGGCAAGCAAGCAGACTTTAGCCTCTCTAACAAGGCTGGAACACCAGTTCTACCCTGTGTTGTGCTGATAAATGCCTCTGTGCCTGCACACTGCAGCACACTGTTTTAGCTGTCACCTGACCAGTTGTTTGACAAATAGTTACCAAACCCAGTAACCCAAGGGTCCAGTCATTAACCCTCGAGCCTAAAGTTCTAATTGTGGCTTATTAATAATAATGCCTCTGTGGCTGACTGTGACCTGGGGTCAGGGTAAATCTCCATTTAGAGCAGGGGTGTCCACACTTCTCAAATGACCAGGGTAAAGTGACCTACATTGAAAACACTAAATATATATTATGTGTCTTATATACACTGAATATCTTATTATACACATTATATATTCAGGTACTTTGATTAAATCGCAGTAGTTGTATGAAACACTACTGTCTGACTCAATACTTATATGGCCCTTACTTTAGCCCTAGCGATTAGCATCTTAAAATAGAATGACATGTAGAATTTAATTATTTTTTTTTAAATGTAATTGCTCAGGATCTACCAGCACTCCCTCTGAGATCTACTGCTAGACCCTGATCTACTGGGTCCCTGATTTATCCCTGGTTTAGAGTATTCCAAGGTCATCAAGAATGTCACAGACCTTGTTCTCCTGCTTGGTGAACATCCAAACATTATCTTAAGCCACAAGCAGGTCCTGCACCACAAACCTTTACTGCAGGAAAAGTTGCTTTTTATGTATTGCGCAGAGTCCAGGGTCGTTTAAAAAGTTAAACATAGTTACCTTGTGGTTAAAACCTGGTCCACCTCTAGGTGTGTGTGTGTGTTTATGGAGGTTTTACTGTGAGGTTTGGACTTTCATTCACACGCACACCCTGGCCCTGGAGAAAGTATATTTTACCAAAATCCTGGCTTTTGTTATGTACACATTGTATTGACCCCAACGCTGTATGGGGCAGTTGTGGCTTAGTGGTTAAAGATGTGGACTTGGGTCTGAGGGGGTTTCAGGTTCGAGTAGTTCACTTTCCCTTGTTTTATTTATCCTTCCATTCTTCAATTATCACTTAATCATTTCTGATAAAATCTGCCACCATGTGGCCAAAATTGTATTTTTTTTACACTTTGAACTGGGTGAAAGGCATTGTGGATGTTTGAACCATAATACCCCAGAAAGCACAGACAGTAGTTTCAGTCCGATTTATAAATAATTGAAATGTTCAGCACAAACAGTTGAATAATGATTAAGAGCATTTATGTATATATTTTTATCCAAACTGTCAAAGGAATAATGGTTTTATCACACATCGGGGACTTTTTACCATAACAATCGGAATTTGATCACATCATTATATTCTGATGTGGTTTCTTTATCAGTTTTATTTTTATAATTCTAAGTAGTAATATTCATTATAACTTCCATAATTTCCCCTAGGGAACTCCCGATGGATTAATAAAGTTCAATCTATCTGTACGCCGAAAAAAAGTCAGAGCTCTTCCACACCGACACGTGAACATTCTTTGTGAGGGTGCAGGAGATTTTTCCCAGAAACTGTGAGCTGTGAGTCAGGACAGTAATCTGTAATCATCTCTTGACTCACCTGCAACCTTAAAACAACACAGGGTGATCACAGTGAGGGGTCGTGGGGGGCAGATGTGTCCTCGTAATTCATGCCAACAGATAAGAATCATTTACTGTAAGAACGTCAATATTAGTACACCAGTACACTAGTACTTGTACTAGTTTTTTAAAAAGTACAAAAAGTATTCTGATTTAGTGAAAATAAAGAAAAAAGCCTCATCCTCCCCTACAGGTGGTGTTATTGTCTATAATATTATCATTCTTAAGTCCCAGGACACAACATAGTTTTTAATCTGGAATCTACATTTTTACAAAAGTGAATTCTATGGGTTTTTTTTTTATTTCTTTGTGTCTTTAAATAAATAAAAACTAATTTTGTTTTATTTTTTAAATAATATTAACTCAGCTACATGTAATACGGTTCGAACAAGTTAACCCAGATGTTTGATTCCAGGTAGACAGGTCTGATCAAGGCTCAATCTGGCAACCCAGCAGTAACATTCGGTTGCCAAAAACAAGTGCTCTTTTACTACTCACTATTTGACTTTTGTCCAACCAAAAGAACAAAGAGAAAACTGATATTTCATTGTTCGTTGTATGGTATGCAGAGTATTCTGGACCACATTTGGTCTGTTGGTCATGAAACCAACAGATTAACGCAGCAGCGTTTCCTCTTCAGGGGAGTTTTTCTCTGCAGATCTTTAATAGTGCATACAGAATTACAGCACTGCACAGGAAACGCAGCTAAATTGAAGCTTTATCTTTAAGTGGAGAACAGGCTTCAGAAGAAAAATATTTATTTTACTGCTATTTTAAATCTCCTTTGGAGATGGACACGCCATTAGGCCACTTCCTGCACTTCCTGCTAATGTGAATGCACGGGCCAAACCCTTTGGCACTCCGGCCCCTGGCGATGTAGCATTTTGGCACAACGCCGTGCTGAGTCACTCATTTCCAATCACTGACCGACAATCTGTCTGCGGCCACTGAAATTTCCCTAACCATTAACCAGGTGGGTTTGGCTTCTCCGCCCACAACAGCTCCAACCTGTGCATAATTTGATTTGACTCCAGCTGATTTATTTCACCTCCCATTAGGAGAGATTTCAGCCTTTCTGGTTCTTTTGTCGGGTTTGTCTTTTATCTGCAGGTTGTCGGGTTGAAGTTATGTAAAAAACATTTCTCTAATTTTATCCTCTCCTCCTCCCTCCTTCAGCCTCTCCCCCCTCATTCCATACAAACATCTCCCTCTCCCCTCATTCACTCCCTTCATTCTTTTTACACATGCACAGATGTGTGTGTTTGTGTGTGTGTGTGTGTTTCTGATCAGGAAAGTGTGAGGTGTAAACTCTTGGATGTTTAGGCCACTCCTCATTCCTGTGGTTCCAGCCTCACACTCTAAAAAGTCATGTTTATATATAAATATATATATATATATGTATTTTAATTATAAATAAACATTTTTTACAGTGTTGACCAAGGTGGGACACATTTATAAACACAGGCCAAGTGCACTAAAACAGATATTTGATTTTTTACCAAATTTAGATTAGATTAGATTAGAGCAGATCAGATCAGATTAAATTAGATTAGATCAGATCAGATTAGATTAGATTAGATTAGATTAGATTAGATTAGATTAGATTAGATTAGATTAGATTAGATTAGATTAGATTAGATTAGATTAGATTAGATTAGATTAGATTAGATTAGATTAGATTAGATTAGATTAGATTAGATTAGATTAGATTAGATTAGATTAGCTTCAACTTTATTCATTCTGGAAATTGATATGGACCGGAATTGGGATTTTTTTCACCTGTTCCAATCATTTTTTAATCACATCTTTAGAAGAAACTAACTAATAATCAATAACAAAAATTATCCAGAGCTGCAGCTCCATCTGTTTTTTTTTGTCATAATATTAGAAGTAAAAAAAGGTAACTAAAGATAACATTATTATTAACAGTGTGATCTGAACAGGCATGAAACAGTTCATCCCCGACCTTTGACACCACGGCACAAGATTTCATTTTTGTTTAATTGTAGTAAGAAGTGTTTTGTTTCAAACCTCGGAATTCAGATCCTAACGTTTGTTTGACGTTATTTTATCAGAAGCTTAACGTTCAGTGTTGAACTGCAGGCCTGGGGGGAGTGTGTGTGTGTGTGTGTGTTTGTAGACTAAAGCACTGATCTACAGCAGCTGTGAATGAGGACGTGAGGACATTCTGAACTCCTGGCATCAAAACACAGGCGCTGTGTGAAATAAGGAGTGTTTGACTTGACAACAGTCGACCTAGAGGAATCAGAATCTGAGACGGACGAAACATCATCTTGGATTAACACCACTGTCGGCCCCATGGTAATTTGATGGACACCCCCCACACACACACACACCCCCCTCGGTGTTATCACAGGGTATTAGTCTGTAAACACACAGCAGCCCCCAGACTCAGCCCCATGGCAACTCCACTGTCCAGCAGAAACACAAACAAGAAAACAAACTGAATGAACACCTGTTGTATCTCAATCTCTCAGCCACACACACACACACACACAGTGTTAACACCCATGCAGGTCCATGTTTGACATGTCTGTAGAATGTCTGTGTGTGTGTCCTGGCATTAACAGTTCCTGAATCTCAGTCTCAGCTTCTTTTTTTTTTCATTTATATTCACTCTAAGAATTATGTTTGAATTAAAAGATGTTTTAAAATAGTATCTTTGATGGCATTATAAGTTAATTATAATTGAAATACATGAGGTTTTTTATTTAGATGTATTGGCAGCTGTACTTGGTTTGGTGTACTTACACAGTCTGTGTGTATTTTCCTTATTGGATATTTCTTGTGATTGTTTATACGACTGAATTCAACTACTACTTCTTCCATTTCCATTGTAAACGCTAGGTCTGTATGAAACTATAGACTGGTGGCTATCAACTGGTGGCTCATGGGCTGACTCTGGCCCACCAAAATGTCCAATCTGGCCTGTGAATGGATTCCAATGAATGGATTCCATTTGTTACATACAGAATAATCATGTCGTAAAAGCAAGGATTAACTGTATTTTAACGGTTGTTTTTTAAATATACATATGTGTAAATATGTAAATAATTTTATGTACGTTTTTCTAAAGAGACAAAACAAAACAGATTCAGTTTTTCATTCTACAGTCGAGCTCAAAATAATAAACAAATACTGTAACTGTACCTCAAATTATACTTCAAATTGTGTGTAACATGAAGGTGCACACGTGACTCCACCGATGCTTCACTTTTCCAGCCTCTAATTTTACAAATCGGAGCATCTCTGATTCTCTGCCGCCAAAGGGGAAAGTACCTGGCACTCACACACACACACACACACACACCCCACACAGGGTTTTTCTTCGTGCCTAATCACATACTGTTGCCAACAAACAGAAAAAGGATGAAGGTAATCTGGGCCTGGACGTTTGTGAGTGTTGCAAGTTTTTTTATGGTAAAACTCTCAAAGGAATTCTCCTTTCTGGGTCAAATGTTGAGTTTGCAACTTTGGAGGCAGTTGCGGAGTGTTTTGTGAGCGTGCACGTGTGTGTGTGCACGTGTGTGTGTGTAAGGAGGTTACCATTAGCTGAACAAATCTAGCCTTTGTAGTAATGATAGGGGTGGCAGGCTGCCAGGTAGGCAGACAGACAGATAATACCACAGTAGTTGGTGACGGAGTGACTTCAACTACAGGCTGTTCCACCTCAGCGACGGTCCTAAACCTGCAGCGCGAGGCTCCACCAGCGCCCGTGCCGTGGTTTTAGGAATGTAAAAATCAGTGAAGTTCAGTCAGCTGTCGTCGTGTCGGTGTTCTGCCTTCATTTCTGTTTTGTGACTCACAGTGAAGCTCTTGTGTTTTTCATTATTTGTTCTTTTCTTTCAGTTCTCAAGACTAATGTTCCTAATTTCCTTTTGGTCAAAAATCAAAAAAAAGAATTGGCATATGAGGAAGGCCTCGATGATCTCATAACTAATGCAACCAAGGGGCCAAAAATGTCACTTTCAATATGTGCAAACGTGTCCACAGTTAAACACTGGGAATTACTGTTCATTTTATTACTAGGTTTTAGTATATCACTATAATAACAATCGTACGTTATTGGAAGATAAACTTACATAGACTTAGAAAAAGAAAATCTTCTAAAAATAATTTCAAATAATTCAGAGCAGTTAAAATATTCAGTAAAGTCCTAGAACCAAACAGAACGTTGCAGTTTGTTCCGTGCAAAATATGGAAGAGCAGGTTTCACCATGTTGTGTGTGGATTCTGGGGACTTGAGTCGGTGGGATGTGCAGGAGTTGTACCCACTTGTTGCTGGAGACAGGAGGCGCCATAGAGAGGATGTTAGCTCCCCAACAATGCCTTGTAGGAGAGACCTAATTAAAGCTTGTTTGAGTGAATGTGTACAGATTGATTCTCTTTGACAGTCTGACATCTACGAATATGTGGCCAACAATGTGGGTCTCACGTACAAATGATCGATTCCAGTAGCAAGTCAAAATCTGTGACTACGCTGAGGGTGAAACAGGATTCACTGGCTGAGCTGCAAAATGAAAAAAAAAAGAGAAATATATATATAAATATAAAGTGAGCCCATTTTGAAATAGTCAGTGGGATATTTTCGTCTCTGTATTGTGTAAGGGTTGAATTCCTGTGTTTTGCAAATTATTTTTGAAAGTTCCACTAAAACATTGTCTTCTCTGAGAATAAAAAACACTTGTCTGCAGTATCACCGGGACAACAGCTATATTTCACAGTATAATGCATGGGAACAGGAGCGAACAAGGCCGCCTGTCTCTCACTAACACACACACACACACACACACACACACACACAGTGATTAAAATCAGCAGGACTGCAGGCCTCAGCTCCGCTGCTAACTTACTGACAGCTTTGAAAGTGTTCACGTTTGTGTGTGTGTGTGTGTGAGACACAGCGGTGTCCACCCGCAGGCACCTCCCCCCAACCCCCCGACACCCACCACCACCAGCAGCAGGAGGAGGAGACCCCCCAGGCATAAGCATGTCTTTACATGACACTAATGCTGTCTGTCTGTCTGTCTGTCTCCGTACACAGACAGACAGACAGACAGACAGACAGGTGGAACCGCTGGATGTGACAGATAAGAAAAGATAAAACCTACCTCTCCTCCGCTCCCGCTCCCAGAGGAGGCGCAGGGAGGTGAGGAGGTGCAGACGGTGGAGGTGATTGTGCACTCCGAGCTCCAGGAGGTCATACTCTGAGAGGTGGAGAAGGTCCTGGAAAACATGAGAACATACAGGTTTAACATTGGAAAGAGAAGCGATGTAACTGTAGACTGTGAAGAAGACCCTGGTCGCTGTCTGGACCTCACTCTGGACAAAACAGTAATTGTTCAGACCAGGGGTGTCAACTCATTTTCAACCTAATTAGAAGTACAATTATAACCTAATTAACTATAAACACAGTGTAAAGTCCATGTTTTTCCCTTTTGTTTTCATGCAAAGTAGAAGTCTATACAATATTTATTGATACTTATTCATATTTAATTAAATATAATTTTACAAAAAAGAAATCCTTAACATGTTAAACCATGTTAAACCAAAAGAACAATATTACCAAACCTCAACAACAATTTTGTAAATGAGGAGCTTAAATTCTTTTAATCCTATATGAGAATTTGTTAAAGATACCGTGTGGTTACCAACCAATTCTTTTTGCCATTTGTGAAAATCACTTGAGAAAACCTGCCCATTCGACCCGAACTGAACTTTGACAGCACAGTGTGTCAGCCCTGACTTTGACCTTTGTCAGACACTCGTCTTACTCAGGTCACACTGGAAGGAGACTAGAATATTCTGGAGGTCGTTACTTTAGTCCAAAAGTGGCATTGGACGGAGACATAGAGTCAGAGTGACTGACTGTGATATCACATGACGCTGGCTTCCTTTTCCTTTTTACACCATTTTATGATTTTGCTCCCTTGCCCTCAGTTTTTAACCTTGTGCAGCCGTTCTGTAGGGGACTGTGACCCCAGTGACCCAGTGCTTTGCTCCGTTTTACTGGCTTTATTTACACGACATCCTCGACAAACAAAAGTTGGAGCGAAGTGACGGCGTGGTCAGCAGCAGCAGCGGAGTGCACAACCGCCGGAGTGATTGACTGCACTGAGAAGACGGGCTATCATTTTCCAGCGAACATATGTTAGTCACATGTCAGGGTTCAAACTCTTTAGTGACAAGAGGTTCAGCTCGTCAGGATATCAGATTAAAAACACCTGTCGGTGACGCAGGCCTTTATCCAGGAAGAAGGAAATAAGTGGTGATTTGGTCTTTGACTGTATAATGTATTTACAGACAAAGACTTCTGTCCTCTACATTCAATCATTTCCTGGGGATTTGAACACATGATAACAAGCCTGATGCTCTTTCCACTGGGCTCAGGACTGCCCCACCAGGGCCACTGGAGAACCTAAGACTGGGCTCCACAGACAAAACTCTCAAGACTGATTCTCTAGAAAATTAGAAAATATTCTACAAAGAAATAAAATGTATATTTATTAACGCACATGTATCTTTTATGAAGCCAAAGGAATAAACCTAAGACTGGGCTCCACAGACAAAACTCTCAAGACTGATTCTCTAGAAAATTAGAAAATATTCTACAAAGAAATAAAATGAAGCAAGTAACAAATATTTTTTCTTATCAATTTCTCGACATTTCAGACGACCTTGTTTTAATTCCAAACCAACCCACGTGTTATTTGGGTTTCATTATGACCAGCGTCAGGACAAACACCTGAGTCCATCCTAACTAACAGACAATCCTGACTGACTGACATCAGGTAAAGCACCGTCTGTCTAGACAATGTGGTGACAACGTAGTGCTGAGGTCACTGGTGACCAACCACCTTCTTAAAGTGTGCCGTACCCCCGCCCCCTGCGACTCCCCCCACCTGACCCTTTCATTACAGCACGTTCCTAAAACACACAAACAAACACACCCATCCTCGCTCCGACCGTCAGTGTGCCATTAACACAAATGACCGAGAAGAGGCGCCCAGTCTTTGAACCACAACTCAACCTTGTGCAGTAATGGAACTGCACAGAAACACACCCACACTGTGTATGTGTGTGTGGGTGAGTGGGGAGCGGAGGGGGGTGTGTTTGACTGGTGCACTGTCATCACAGGACACGCCCAGCTCAAGGCACCAAACCAAGGCCTTATTGTTTTGTTTTTGCCACAATAAGACTATTCTCCTAGTTCATCACAAACAAAAGTCTATTTTGAGGACATACATTTACACTGAACAACAGAGAGCATGTGGAGGGAGGGAGAGAGAGAGGGAGAGAGAGATTGAAGGGAAAACATGAACTAAAACACAACTCTCTCAGTTATACACTCGTTCACAACCACACTCACATACCAGGCGTATGAACACAACCTTCATTTCCCACAGTCTCTGTGTGTGTGTGTGTAGACAAAAGTACAATAGGCGAACCCTAATTTTTCCCATCTCCCCCTCCCTTCACTTCACCCGTCTCCTTTTTGTGACCAACAGCAGGTTGACATGTTTTCTCTCTCTCCATCATGCAGTGATGGACAATGACAACAAATCCCATTCCAGTCCTGTGGAGGCCTCATGTTGACAAAGTTAATGTTGGTTTTATCCACAATGAAAGTTTTTAAAAGAGATTATTAGGAAGGTGGTGAGAAAAAAAACCCAAACCAACCTAGATTTAAGGATGGTTTGGGGAATTGGCTGGAAGACCATCCAGCAAGACTGGACATTAGATTTCAAATAATAACTGACAATAATAAATGAGCCCTGGTTCAGACTGACAGGAATCCAAATGATTTTAACAAATAGCTAAAATAGTGTGAATACTTCTGAATACAACCGTACTACTGGTGTATACCACGTACATGCTGGTAGCATGCTGCTAATTCCCTGCATAGCCCTGCTTTGACTGCATTATCTTATTTTCTTTATTTACCTGGAAAATAAAGGATGAATAAAACATAAGATGCAGAAAATTTGGTTTAAAAAGATTCTGGCCCTGTTAACTTTATGATTAGATACAAAAATATTACTCTGTCCTGTGCTGCATCTCTCTCCCATTACACTACTGCTTATTGCAGCAAGGCCTTCTGGGTAAACATTAGCAGAGAGTAATTGTATAATTCATGTCTTATTGGCCAATCAGTCTTGTCCGGGAGCCGCTGTTATGTAAGTAACAGAATGAAATAGATTAATGGCTGGATGTTAAAACAGCTTCTACATCAACGTCTGTTCAGTTGAAGAAGCCAGTGATGAAGTACAGTATATATATATATACAGTGGTAGAACGAGTTGTTCCACAACAGCACTCGTATGTCGATTGAATTTTTTTAGTTTAATTAAAAATAACTAAAAACCAATTAATTCATTCCAGCCCCGCAGAAATATACATATATATATAATAATGATTAATTAAATTAACCCCTAATCGTAACATCAAAAACATAGATATAAACAAATATATTGATAATATAAAATAATAATAATTAAGAAAACATTTTATATTATTGTTATAAAAATGGGTAAAATAACCCAGAGAGGCACAGTGAGGGAGACAGCGCCATAGTTGGCCTAAGGTGCAGTCTAGAAAGTACACATCAACATTTTTGTGGCACTCCTCAACGGTGTTAACAATTAACATTTTTTAAAATATATTTTTGTGAGTATTTTTTAACTCAGAGTGAAAGAAAGCAGCAAAGGTTGCTCAGGTCAGGACTGGAACTGTTGACCAGCTACTCCAGGCATTCCTACCATGTGGTACAGTACACGCCCTAAACCACCCTGCGATCAGAATACCACAACAATCACACAAGACTACATACTTTTCACCCCCCCCCCCCCCCCCCCCCCCCCCCCCCCCATTCAGCAGAGGAGGAGGAAACCATTTAAGAAACTGTAAGGTAAAAAACAATTGTTTTTGTTTTTTCTTTTTTTTGTCTTTGAGTTACCTCCACACCATCGTACTCCTGCTCCAGAGCAGTGCAGTACTGGGGCAGACCCAGCTGGCTCAGCCACCGGGAGATGGACTGGTGCTTCATGTAGATTCACATGCAGTCACCAACGTATGCAACGTCTTCAGGTCGACTCTGTCAACAGGAAATAAATAAATAAATAAAATGACAACTGGAATCACAACACAGTTAAACTAATTCAACTGATAAAGACCCACGAAAATATATTTTTCATCCGCTCAAAGTCCAGTGAGTTTTTGCAGCAAAACAGCTCTGGAATCTGTCAGTTTGCTATCAGCTGGCTTCAGCTGGTACAGGGGAGACATGAATGAAAGATGTTCATGTCCTCCAGAGGGGCTGAAAACACCAAAGAAACTGGGAAATACATTCAGAGAAGAGTTGGTGGCGGGTTCACTGAAAAAAAGTAAACCTGTTGATGTCAGATATAATTACATACTGTAATATGACTGCAGTCAAACACATCTCTATTTAAATCTCTACTTACTTAAAATATATTTACAGAATGTCAGCCTGATTCTGTGGAATAATTTGAAGTGTCAGATTAACCGTCCATGTCCGTCCAAAAATCCATGTTTTTACATTTTCACTCAAGTAAAATCCATGTTTAGGTCAGCAGTGTTTCCCCTAACGTTAAGAGCTGGACAGGTATTTATTGTATTTATTGATGGGCAAAATCACACTTTTGTGTCACATTATTGTTTATTTTGGAATCCAGTCATGGACCGGATCGGCTAGTTTGGTGGGTCAGATTTGGCCCGTGAGCCACAAGTTGATAATCATTGGTTTAGAAAAATACTAAAAATCAAATCAAAAATACTATAAATCAGTAATTTAAAATAAAAAACAAACAAACTTGAATTTATAAAAAAATATATTATACATTTGATCTGGATATGTGCTCAGTATAGGGTTTCTGCAGTTTATTTTTCACAGCCAGTTAGTCTTTAACCAAGTCTCCTTTTTTTTATCAGTCTAATGGCTGATTAGCAGCAACACTACAGATACCCCCACTGCTGCAAACACCCCTGGGCGTTGACGTCTCAGTCTCAACAAGAGGCTGATACAGAGGCTGGGAACCAGGCTGTCTCTGTGCCGCCAGTCATGATAGAGTAAAACAACATTGGGCAGAAAGATCAGCAAAAACTGAGACGCAGAGGTCACGTCACCCAAACACTGTCGCTTATCAGTAGAACAAATCATTTTACTGTGGAATAATAAGGCAACACACACACACACACACACACATTAGTTGATGTAACGATTTATGACTACGTCGTCTTAATGATTAATTACTGTGCAGTGTTTTTGTCTAATTAGACAATAAAGTCTTTCAGTAGAACGCTGTCAGTGTCTCTGTGGATTTTAGTATAAAACCATCACAGCAAGAACAACAACAACGTTAATTAACATAGAAAAAGCTCCATGGTGCTGATTTATCATTTCTGCGTTAATGTCTAACATGTTTTATAATTTAGACAAACCTACATAATTGTGAACCATCCCTACATCACTCTATCCATCTATCTATCTATCTATCTATCTATCTATCTATCTATCCATCTATCTATCTATCTATTCGTCCATCCATCCAACCATCTAATTCAGTCCTGAAAAGACCCATCCTCAATGGCATCATTTATAAATTCAAGTACCATCCTTGGCCTCAGGAATGGAAGCTTCTCATATGTATTCTTCAACATGACTGTTATGGTTCCACAGTGCGTCAGCATCAACTCCAAAAGTAGGCCCTAGCTGGTTAACTGATGCAGAAGCTCTGCATAATACAACTTTGACGTTCTTGTCAAACGTTGACAGTCATTTAGCCTCTGTCTTCGAGGAAGGAAATGTGATTTACATGGAAATGATGTTTCCAGATCAATAGGAATCACATTTCCATCGATGGAATCGCCCCCTGGTTACTGCCCTGTGTTTGGACACCGGCGTGTGGTCAGGTAGCATCAGTGCACTTGGTGTTCTTGTGTTGCGTGTGCATCACACCAGTTCAGTTAATGTATGTGTATAGAAACAACGCATTGGAAAAGGTAGAACTGCACAAACCCCCTTTGGGGAGTAAATGCCCTCACCCCCACACCCCACTCAATCACATTAAGTGATGTCACAGAAACAACCGACTCTCACCAAAGGTTGTGTTACACCCCCACAATGTGCACACACACACACATACACATTCAATTACTTCCATCCAATCTGCCAGTGTGCCCTCCTGTGGATGAGCAGTTGTTCATGCAGTATATGGACTCCTGTCAGCATCTTACACCATCTCCAGTTTAACCTAATGGAGAAACGGAGGTCGTTCAGGAGAACGGTTGACCTCCGTGCACCACGTTATTGACTTTATATACGGTTCACATACAGTACCAGGCATCAGAGAGTTCATACTGTACCGCGTCTCAGTGAAAGTATGTTCGGTATGTGTAGCATGTGTGTTATTAGCGTTAATATTTATATGGTGCTGATGCTGTAGATGTTATGCCCAGTTTATCTGTCGTGGTTCATTGTCATTTTAGAGGCAACAATCACAATAACACCAGTCCCATGTAACCCAGTGGTAAAATAGTAATAACTCACATTAGGGCCGTGCCCAAGCACCTTTTCCCACTAAAGTCCAGATTCTATGGCTAGTACCTTTTCCCACTAAAGTCCAGATTCTACTGCTAGTGTGAGTGCAAGTGTGCCGCGCCCAGGTGAGGGACATGGGAAGGGACGCACCCGGGCTTCAGCACGGTATGCACCAACTGACTCTAATGTGACCAATTACAGATCAGCTGATATGGGAGGACAAGTTCTCCTCAAGTTCTCATCTTAGTTGGCAAACATTTTTATTCAAAACAATAGTGGGCCATCGTTAGACTTAGACGTGCTTTATCAGGTGTTATTGTGATTTATCCTCAATTTCCTGCTTAAAAGCTTTTCCAGAATTTTCCAGAAAATTGTTTTTGTGACATCATACTTGTTGTGGTTCTGCTACTACCGTTACTACTGCTTATTTAAAAATGCTAAGGGTAGCTTTTAGGGTTTATTGATGGGAACGTTGGTAGCTTTGGATTCTACTTCCAGATTCTTGCAGAGGTCCATGTGTGAAGCCTCTGTGGGCTGAATACCTGACTGTGACTGTAGAGTCGTTCTGTTAAACAATGCAGGTCGTTCACCCCGTGACCCAGCGTCAGGATATTTGTTTTTACCACAGTCCAGGTGTGAATGAGGGTCGTTAGAATCACCTGAAAGACACAGCCTTCTGTGTACAAGCTGGAGTTATTTTGATTGCCCCAGTATTAGCTGCTCTGCTTCATGGAAGCCGTTCCCAATGGCTGCCATATTGGATATCTTGCTACCTTTGTGCTTGTATGAAAATTCACCCAGAAACACGTAAATTCACCACTACATTTTATTAAACACACGCTGTTCCCTGAAGGGAACATGAACAGAGACCTTCAAGGACTCAAATAAAACTTTAGATACTAGTGAATGTGAGTAAACCTTTAAACTCGTCTCTTAAAACTGTGTTAGATTGCCTTCACGACTTTCACCCATTTGAGAGGATATACCAGATGGAAATGCATCTTAAACAGTGGTCTCCTTATAATTAACCTCAAAAATGTGCTACCAAGTCCTGAACCTCTGAGAGCTGCGGTTCATTGAGAAGCGTGCGAGGTGGGAGTCGACTACACCCTGTCTGCGTCGGTGCATCTTTTGGCCAGATGATGCTTGTAACCACCGCGTTGCACAGACTCCCGAACAGCTGTGTGTCATTTTCAAGATTTTAAAGAGTTGAAGTTTTTTCCTCACTGATACGAGCGGTTTGTCCCATAAAATTTCACATGGCTGGTTGAAAAACTACTGAAAGATCACAGAGGCTTTTCAGACAAACAGACACTTAAATATAATTTTAAGACCTTTAGGAAGTAAGAAAGAAATCTGTGAAACTCTATATGCACTGTACTTTTCTTAAAGCTTCTTTTTGAAGGCTCAGTTTCCTTTTTTGGTTTGATAAACACTGGCTGACCTTGTAGGTCAGGAGGAACTCAGCAGGGACTCCGTCCACTGGCTGCAGGAACAGATTTCCTTCTGACTCCCGAGGATCTCTGGCATCTTGGTTGTTGTTTACAGTAAAGAAAGAACAGACTTGAGTGAATTCCCAGTAGTGCTGACAGAAGGTCAGTGAAGAGAGTAAGAGTTCGGCAGAGGTGGACGCACAAGAGCTAAGCTCAAAATGAAAGTATACCCAGGAGAACCGGAGTACAAGCTCACAGTCAAGGAACACCAAAGGTCTGGTCCCTCCCCGGAGGTTTCTCCAGCCTCTCCGGATCAGTCCAACCTTCCTCCCCCTCTACCCCCCATGTTGGTTTGACCTGCACTTTTTTCCCATGGCTGACTTCTCCAGAGAATTGTCAGAGCATGCAATTTCATTATGGAATATAAATAGAGCCATCCCAGCGTTCTGCTCAGTGGATGATCTAAACAGACTTGGCCATTTGACAGATACTCTCCAAATACCAGAGCAAACAACACAGAAGACAGCATTAGAGGACGGTTATTCTCAGTCAGTCTCTAATGTCCATGCTGGCTGCCTCTTTTAGACCAAGGGCATCCATTTTCACAATCACATTAGACAAACACAATCCAACCAATTGAATTAAGGCACAAAAATAACAACAGTGTGGTCATCAAACCACTTCCAGGTCCTATTACTCATCCAAGCAGCACAAGGTTTAATTGTTTCCAGTGATGGAAACCACACAGCTGGGGAAGATAAGACACCTTCTCCATGTCACTGTAGATGTGTCCTGCACAAGTTATACTACAAATACATACTCAGAAACTAGTCAGAAATACTAGTCAGACATACACAAGTATGTGTTAAAGTACTGTTTCTGTTTCCTTTCCAGTATCCAGACTATAAAGACGCAAGTATTTTATTGTAAATGAGTCTGGGTTTGCATTAGATAAAACATGTTAACCACTCTAATCTGAGCAGATCTGCCTGGACTTTCACCTTAAGTGCATAGTGCACAGCCCAACATTTTCACTCAGTCACTACCAAACATGATAAATAGACATTTGTCACGTAGTTCATAACTTTTTGCCACAACAACAGGTCTTGGTGCAGTAGGCAGTGCGTCAGAATCATAATCTGAAGATCGTGAGTTCGAGCCTCACACAGGGCATGTGTTTTAGGGTCAGTGCCTTGGGTCCAGAAGGTTGCAGGTTTGACTCCACAATCTGCCAAGTTCCCACTGAGGTGCACTGAGCCTGACACCGTCCCCACTCACTGCTGCCCCCCGCTCCCTTGGGTGATGGGTAAGAAGCATAGGTCACATTTCATTGTGTGCTGTTGTGTGCTATGTCACAATGACAATTAATTCACTTTCAAAAATGCACAAAAAATTCTTTTTATCCATTATTGTCTTTGATGAAAATTTCATCTTTTTCTAATTATGTTAAACAGCAGCTAGAGAAGCTCTTTCTTCATAAAGAGGCTGCTGTTTGTCTTATGTTACTTTATGCCACTCTACATACTGTATCCTCACAACCTGTAACATATTATACACAAGAGAAAAAGATCCCACGCCTCTAACATGACTCCCAACAACAACACTTGACCTGAACACAGACAGGCACATTATAGATCACAGGAGACGTCCCATCATCCATCCCTCCTAAAGTATTTCAGAAGTGAGAAAGTAAACATTTGAC